ACTAGGAGCAAGGACGCTACTAGGGGCTCCTGGCATCGCTACTAGGAACAAGGACGCTACTAGGGGCTCCTGGCCTTACTATTAGGAGCAAGAAGCTATTAGGTTGAAGGCCATCGCTCTTAGGTTGGAGGCCATCGCTACCCCAAAGGCCGCTTCCCCTGCAACTCTTGGTAGCCAAGGCTAGTCGGACCAGTTGTGCAACTTGAAGCTAGCTGTTCTGCGGAAGCAGATTGCACTCCTCGTCGTCGGATCTTTGTCAGCTTGAAGGGAGTAGCACAAGGATCGATGATAAGTGGATGGATATCCACAAGTGCCTCAGCCGTGATGTTGGCTCAGAACTGGTCTGTGGCTCTACAAACAAGTGTTCAGCAACTCAGGCCAGAACGTTGTGGTATTGCTCTTTCTCATCAAAAAGGGACACACGCCAGGGTGCTGGCCAGAAATGATCTCGCAAATCTCTTGAAGCTTTGAACACATCTTGGATCTCATGAGTGATGTTGGAGATGTCGACCAGGTTTCCACAGGACATCACATCGTCGACATCTTCTTGGCACACTGATTGGTCTTGTGCCCAAAGCCGTATGGCCACAAACGCGGCCAGCGCAAACCTTGCCATTCCACATCGCCATCAAGAGCACTTCCATCGCGTTGAACAGATTGTGAAAAACAAAGCGTCCAAACAAATAACGAGCTGTTCTTGACCCCTTGAAGCCAAAGACAACCTAATAGCGATGGCCTCCAACCTAAGGGCGATGGCCTCCACCCTAGTAGCGATGGCCTCCAAGCTGCTCTTGACCCCTTGACTTGAAGCTCTTGTGTGCCATATCTCAGCATGTGCTATCCGACTATCTGCATTCCTAGCCGTCCTAGCCTCACTATCTGAAAGAAAAGGCCTGGCAGAAAATCTCACAATCTGATTTGTGTCTTCAACGAAACCTTGAACCTTGCAGGGCGCCCTGTATTTTTTCTGACAGCAATGGCGCAAGCTGCTGTGCATCAGATTTCGACGCGGCCGCGCTGCTATTGTTTATGTACATGTTGTGGAAAAAACACACATCTTTTCCACAGTTCTTCATTTTTGGGCGTCAGGCGGGTCTCAATAACCTGGCACCGCCCGCACTGGAGCGTTGGACGGTCTCGTCTCCAAACGAGCCAGCCAAGCCCAAGGCGTTCCGTACCGCGCCGATCGGCACTGCGCTGGCCCATCTCGTCCAAGGCCTGGCGTGGGCCAGTGCCTTCGCGAAAGCCTTCAGTAGCATGCTTTTAGTCCAAAGCCTTCAGTAGCATGCCTACTGAAAAATAAGACATGGACATATTACATTGTTGGAATTTCAACTGATTCAACTGCCATGAGCTCTGGCACCTTGAGTGCTCCGACCACGGCGAATTCGCTCATGGATGGCCTCTTTGCCCACTTCAATCCATGAAAAGTTCAATCATTGAAAATCAGCTACAAAAGATATATATATAAGTATATAATACAATGGAACCATATTATAATATATACGTATAACAATTATCATATCATATCATATAAATAAGGCCCCTGTAGGTTTTGTCTAGAAGATTTCAAACCTGCTTGTCAGCTTGCCTTGGCACTGAGGTCAAGGAGGGAAGTGTAGGGATGACCTCCTTGCCCTGCCAGCATTCAAGAAGACCCACTGGTATGCATGTTGGTCTTGTAACTACAAATGTTGAACCCATCCGAGACCTTTCGACTTCTTCCACAGATTGGACATTCTTTTCGGATTCACCACAACAAATGCTGGTCTCTTGGCAAAGTGAACTGCGCACAAATGACACAAATATGCAACATCCAACTCGCCTTTCCAACGTCCACCTTGGCCTGAGCGCAGCATCTATGTGCCATTGGCAAATCTGGCACTACATTCTCCAATCAAAAATAGAATCAAAATTAAGAAGCTACTAGTAACAAGTGCATCGCTAGTAGTAACAAGTGCCTTACTAGTAGTA